ACAATTAGATTATTAATTAAATTAAATAATGTATTCACATATGCGTCCTTCGATTGCTCGTTATTTTCCATAAAACCGCGGCACTGTCAATCATCTATGAATAATTACCATAAAGCGACTTTGTCTAGTTTGTATGTTTGTGGTATTTGTTACAGAAGAATAGGTACGAGGAATTGGAGCAAAACTCTGCTCGTTTGATGCTAAATAACGACCAGCCTCGTGTATTGACTTAATTAAGTCCTTTACTTCTTTCCTTATAAAAAGGTGGTGCTTATCTATCTTTAGAATTTAAATTTTGCAATTTTGAAATAAGTTTATTTAGTCTCAAATTCAGAGAAACAACAGATAATTGCACTTCACCAATTTCATTTAAACTTCAGTTTAAATCTATTTTCCAGCAACTGCCAAAGTTTTCAGAATAAAAGTTTCTCGGTAACAGCAAAATTTGTTCAGGAAAATGATCTGGTTATAGGAGTTGGATAATGTAGTCTATATAGAGCACCAGCTGTGCAGCTTTAAAGCAATTATTATTAATGATTTGTTCCAAGAATTTCATATACATACAAGTTCGTGCTGTCAGGGATAAATTTCTTTTTTTGAAGCACCCTTCATACTCTAGCGGTTTAAGGTGGAGTGTTTTGTTTAATCGACAACTCAAACAGACCGTATTGGAGCATGAAAACGAATTATACAACGTCAAGGAGAAACGTGAGTCTATAAAATGTTCTCCATTAAAAATCTACCTACACGGTAAAGTTCAGTGGCGTTGAGCCTTTTAAATTACCTCTTTAAAACCCCCACTCCCAAAATGCATGTAATGAGATATTTTGTTTATTGTAATAGTTGAATAAACATTTGTGGTAATTATGAGGATTAAGGTCAATGGTTTTTGTTTTTTTTATTAAAGTTTTCCTTATCGGAGGTAATACTTTTCAAGTAGTAAAACTATTGAACAATCCCAACAGACCATTTTTACAGTTATGTTTACTCAAACTCAACACTCTTTTAAAATTTAAGTTTTTCATAGGTAATTATTATGCGTCTTGGAATGTTTTTAGTTTTTTTATACAATAAACAACAATTATATGCAAACCTTAATTAAAACCATTATCGTTTTTAATGAACCGTTTCGGGCAGTTAAACATGACGTCAGCCATATTCTTTTCCTTTAATTCTGACTGTACCTACTACTGATTTTAATATAATTTGTTTTACAATGTCTCGTCTCATGACGAATTCTATTTTTCTTTAATTTTTGACACACAAATTTTCTCTCCCGAAAATTGAATTTGTCTGGGGAGCGTCGAGAAAAAGTTTATTAAAATCCCTTTTAAAAATTTCCCGTTGCTTGTAGGCCCTTCCATTATCAACCTGCGTTAATTACTGAAGTTTCAATCAAGCTTAAATTTCAAATTGCTAAATCCGTGTTCCCAGTTAAATTGTTTTTGTCAGTTATAGTAGCGGGACCTTGACCAGTTTCTTCTATAGGGCCTAAATTGAAATTGGCCTTCCCCAATCGATTTATGGCCCGAATTGTTTTGTTAATTCCATTTTGTTTTCCTGGTCGTCATGTCGCGGAATTTCACTGTTGTTTTTTCCCTTTTCTGAATTTTTACAGCATTTATGTGGTGACACAATAGTTATTATTTGGGTCACGGACAATGGAGGCTCTTTAAAAATATGTTGTAAATCCACTAATGCTTTATATACTGACAACTGGGATAGAATGTAGCTGTTGCATAAGCGGGCGTTTCAATGGAGCAGATGATAATCGAGAGATTTTATAGAATATGATTATTGATTAGAATGATTATTCGGGAGGCACAAAATAGGCAAATATTGTCTCTATCTTATCATGGTTCTTTATTCAACAAGAATTATTATAGTACTGTTACGGATTCCGGGTTCACTACAACACAAACAGTAACAACTTTTTTCAAACTGATCGACTCATACAAAATTCACTTATCAAAACATACACGAGAAATATCGAATTTATATTGAATTACCCTATAAGTACGCTCTATTTATATAGTCGAAATTCCATTCCGGATCTATCTAGAAAAACATCGAATATAATAGAATTCCCAGAAAACTGCTGATCTTGCGGTTTCTAGAATCTGGGTTAGTACAAAACTTGGTACAGAATGATAAAAAAAGCACACTGATAATATAGTATATTTACTATTATGGTCATAATGAAAACCATACAAATACTTCAATACCTATCCTGATTTTTGTCGTAGCGTCGAAGCCTTCGGCTTTCAGCAAACAATGCTAGGAGACGTCGCGTAATCCGTTTGAAGTTTTCATTCGCCTGAACATTGAATTATGTACCTGTAGCTTGACATTTTCTTTCAACATGGATGAAATACATCCATTGTTCCACGTCCCCAAAGACACTTTTGTGTTGTGATAAGGTAAAATTCGACCGTGGCCTACATTTCTTTTATTATAGAAGAGAAAGAGAGAAAAGGTTTCATTGTTTGTTTTTCTGGTATAATGTAGGTGAAGAATAATGTTATTTAGTTTATGTCATATTGAATTACATTTTCTGTTTAGGAATATCATAATAATTATGATTTTATTATAGACATTGAGGATGTTTTTCCATTAGAAGGAAAACAATTTATTTTTGATGTATTGACACATTATTTCTTAGCCACCTGCAGTACAGGAGTAGGAATGATATACAGGGTGTTTCAGGGAAAACAGTCCAGCAAGGTTTACGGCTTTGGACGAAAAAATTTAAAAAACCCTCGAACCCGTGAAATTTTGTTTTCAGGGGGACACATTTAATTGGTATTTTCACCCCTCACTTGTCAACCCCTAAGCCGGGGTGATAGGTACCTCCAAAATTTCAAATGGAGAGGGGGGTCGAGTGACACGTCATTCAATAGCTATTTTCATTAAGATTATATCCCCGAAGTTTTAAGTTGCTACTATTTACCCTGCCGAAATGGCAGCATGTTGAGGAAAACCACCTATTTAAAATATTATTTCTTTAAATCTTAACTTAAAAAAAAAAAAACGTTTACTGAATAAAAGTAAATATTGCAACTATGTACTGCGCCACGAAGTTCAGATTTAGGGGAGAACGAGAGTACCGCAGAGAAGAAGGTAGAAGGCGACGACAAGATAGAGAGGACGCTTGCTTGGCCCATTGCTTAAATTAAGACCGTTTGTCCGCCATTGTTCATTATTCAAAATTTATTTTTATTTTGTATTAAACTGATTGTTCAATCGAATTTGAGATTAGTTTGTGTGTCAAGGAACATTCACAGGTCAGTTGATTAATTATTATTTTGTTTTTGAGAGTTAAATTATTTATACAAGTACCTATCATTTGTTCCATTTTTATGTTTTTTTGGTTTGTTTATAACATTTTTATAACATGTGCATTGTTTATGTATTTAACAAAAATCGCTTCATGCTGTAAACAACATAGATAAAGACTAAATTAAATTCTAAAAAATTAAGTGCTGTCCTTTTGTGCTGATATTTTGATTTCTGTGTATTCAGAACGTGCATTAGGGCCTTGTTGAATCTACTAACATTTTCCTACCCTGACGAGCGAATATCCTACCAAACAAAGGAAAGAGATATTGGCTCAAAATAACAACTATAGCAGGGTAGCATCCCGTATGGGACCTCAGTACCTTCCGGCAGACCGGCTAACTAACAAAAACTCTTCGGTATTGATTATAGGTAGTGTTGTTTGAATGTAGTGTGTGTTATTAAAATTTTAGCACAAAAACAGGGGCGGTACCTAGTTTCAACTTTTATTGAATTATCGACTCTCAATTAATTATTAAAATGACACAGTATGTTCTGATTTTTGAGGAATGTAGATCGAGGGTTTCTCTGCCGTGCTCTTTCCACTCGTTAGTTCCAGGATGAGAACGTTACGATTTACTTTAATAATAAAGTAGACGTTTCACAAATTTTTCGTTTCTTTTAAATATCACAACTTCCCTTTTTCCCAAATATTTGCTATTCTGGGGCAATGAGATCTGGCTATGTTTTATTTGTTGTTCTAAAATTTAGGTACCAACTTCTTCATATTTTTATTCATTACTTGCTCCATTGATATTCCTTCTTATCGCACATTTCAAACATATTAGCCCAATGGCATAGCTAGGGCGGGGGGGGGGGGGCAAAGACCTTTACATTTTATAAATAATTTTTGAAAATTAAAATAAATAGTCCCTAAAATACCCGAAAGAGACCTATGAAAAGGGCGTGGCATCCAGAAATTTCGCGCCTGCAGCGCTTTGACTCCAGCAGCGTTCGCGGTTTGCCCCCCTCCCCAAGACAAAATCCTGGCTAAGCCAGTGTATTAGGCCATTAATATTTGTATCACTTTAATGAATCACTTTTGTTTAGATCTCCATTGACATTTGGTTCTTTGTCCCTACATTCCAAATCTCCATTCCATTCCTCTCCGTTTCGAAAACTAAGTCAACATTGGAAATAAACATCTTTGCACCTCTTATTTACATCAGACATTTTCCTGGCATAGCAGAGTAATATTGTTCCAGACTATCCAAACTTCTAGTCATTTTGCATAATTCTTTGGGCCAGTTTTCAAAATATCTAGGTAATTCGCAAATTTCCGGTTTTTGTTTGCAACCGACAACCACATGTTTGGTGATCCAACTTTACATCTGAATCTTCGGATTTCTTCTCACATAAAACGCACTAAACTAAATTCCAAGATATCATTAGTGCTTTATGATATCACCCAATGAACATTAAATTGCATATACAACAAAAAAGTTTTCCACTTTCGAGAACTCTATATCCATTTCGGGCATTTTATGGATCGAAACCTCTCAGACAGAAATCAAAAAGTTTGAATCCGACTTTTTCATCGGGTAAAAGAGGAGGAGAAAGGACGCCTCTGGGAAAACGATACGATACGACAGAAGTAAAAAGAAGTCGCCTCAAAGTTTTTACAATTGGGAAATTTGTCTGATCGATGTTTTTATGGTTTTCAGATGGATTGGTCCTCTTTTCTATCAGTTTACTGTCGGATTTATAATCGAATGTAACTCAAGGATTAAATTAATTTAAACAAAAAAAAATCTACGTGGCATGAGCAGAAATTTCGGTACCTCCATTTTGGAAATATGGGAAGTTTGCCCAACCTTCACGAGCTGGGAAAAGCTGACGATGGTGAAGAAACAAGTAAGTAGGTATATGTATGTAAATCTAAACTTAATTATTTTTGTAAGGAAATTAATAGCTGTTGTAAAGAATATAACGTTATACCGTTGAAGTGGTCCAATAAGCCGGTTATACACTGTTAACGTTTGTGTTATTTATAGATTTTGAGTCCCCTATTTTCTCTCTACTTTATCGGTGTTTTTTTAATATTAAGTTTGTGCAGTCTTGAACTGAAAGGTCCCCACCATAGTTTCAAAGAGCCGAAAACTAAAATCTCTCTATGAAATAAATACTGTATGGGTTCTCAAAGTAGGATGTATTTAGATCAAGCAGGATTTAAGCCTGGACCGGCCCTGGGACGACTATGCGGCGCCTACGATGCAGGCCTCACCAACGCGGAAAAATGTAAAATATTGCATCGGTATTCCGGCCATGCGAAAATCACCAAGGCCCGAAGCAACCCTCACGATTCCAATAAGATAGTCCACGATGACCTGATGATGGAGGTAGTTTTGTGTCTAAGTCTAATTTTGTGAAACTTAAATCCGCTATTTTCTTTGTTTTGTAGCACATGGCCACTTATTCTCCAATTTCAGCGCGTTCTCGTTACAACTTGCACGGTGGAGGTCCCATTAAAAGAATAGACTCTTTAGCTAGTTCTATTGGGGCCACTTCTGTCAGAAGACTGTTGACAGTGGTACGAGGTGGCGCTCATAATAGTTCGATAGGTAAGTAATGATTTAAAATGAAGAAAAACGAAGCTCTAAAACTGATAATAAGTTCACATTATGCGGACGTGTCTAGACTGTAAAGACATTGCATCGGGGAATATATTTTGCCTCTGATACATTTTAGTAACGGAGTCAATAAAATAGGGAACAAGGATTAGAGAACATAAATCTTTGGTTGGAAGTTGGGATATATGATGCGAATGTAGAACTCACTCACTTCAAGTAACCAAGGTTAAAGAACAAGTGTAAATGGATTTTAAGTAAAATTGATTTGTAGTATGTATTACATATCATTATATATAGGTGTGAATTGTATTTAGCATTGGCGATGCTTGGAAATTACTTTAAATAGGTATTTGGAAATGTGAATACTTATCAAAAGTAGCAACAGATTTTGAAGAAGCTTGAGTGGGTGCTGGTAATGGGGTTTTATAAAACAGCCAGTAGTAGGGCGCTATAGTAAATAGTTAATTCCTTGTTTCATTATCGCCTTTGATAATGCCTACAGCAGTTGTAGGCGAAATATAGTTGGTATCTACGTGGACCACATACCACAAGCCCGGAAAACAATAATTGTTTCAAAATGGTAGAACTGTTGCACCTACTACCTGTTAATATTTTATATATCCTGTTCACAATCCGATGTCCACAGGTGCAGGTAAATTTATCACCTTTCCCTATCAAATAGCATTGGAAGGTGATTTTACCTGTACCTACCTATGGACATCGGATTGTGAACGGATAATAGAAGGTATACCAATATATACCAGTGTAAAACTATTCCATGGAGATAAATTGGGAATCTGGAATCAAATGATTACTTAAACTGTCTCCTAAAATGACAAAACTAGTGAAAACGCAGCAAATATCATCTAATTACGAAACGAATGATGGAGATTATGAAATGTCTGGAAAAAACATTTGTTAAAAGGAAAATATCTTTGCTGCAGAGAAAGCTGCCAGCTCTCAGTTAGGGCCTCGAAACATTAGTTTATAGCTCGAAACCATCCCGCTAACATACAAATAAGCGGTTGCTAAACTTGTCACACAGTTTAGGTAAGTTCCAAATGAGGAAATCAGAAGAATAAGAGAATGTTGGCAGACCTCAAAAGAGATGGCTTGATGACATACAGAACATTGCTGGGAAAAACTGGACGAGGGTTGCTACGGACAGAAAAAAATAAAAATAAAAATTATGGAAGCGGACTACATTCAGGAGCAGATGAAAGCAAGAAGCAGAGGAAGAAGAAGCTAAGATCAACGAAAATGTATGGAACAAATCCCATTATATACCTATAGTTTGTACCTAGTTATTTTAATCAAACAATTAGTCAAATAGAAGAGAAGATGAAGGATATGATGACGTAGATGAGAGTTTATAATGCCAAGCAGCTTTCAAGAAGTTTTAGTTGTTGAACATTTGCTAAGGGCTTTGTCAAAAATATACTTTCAACAGAGGAAAGTCCATAAACTAACGATGTGGAAATGAAATCAAGAGAGGATGCAAGTTATAGAAATGGCAGCTTCAAAAATAGTGGAAATACAAGAGAATACCAAACATCATTTAAATTTTGTGAAAACCAGTTTAACTGGAAGATCCAGAATTGAAGGATATACCAACAAAAAATTGACCTTTTTAGGCTTAGAGATTCGAGAAAAACTATGCACTGAACACTATACCAGTCACGCAAAATCTTGAATAGTTATATTGAATAAGTTCATAATTTTATTTTCACTTATATATAGTTGCCGGAATCACAAAAGTTTAATTTCCTTCAAGGTCGTCCAGCAGGAATAGCCTACAGTCGTAAACTCCTCCTGGCCAATCTGGTTATCATGTGCGTGTGCCATTTGTTATCCACAGCGGCGTTTCTACCGTTTCTAGCTCTTCAGGGCAGCGTGTCCGTTTGGGTACAGTCTCTGACCAGCTCAGTCTTCGAATTCAACACCGGCTCACTGCTGAGCTCAGAAATTTTCTTAACGGCCGCTCTGACCGCTTTAGTCGCTCCTTGTTTTGTACGGATTCTGGGGACTAACATACTGGTTATAATTTGTTTCGGTAAGTGACGTTTTAGTAATTTGTTATCAGGTAACAGGTCTTGTAGTTAGTGTTAAACTTATTTTTTGAAGCATTGCGATTGGTTTACTTAGTGAACTTTATACTTACACAACTGGAAAGGCCAATAACTGATTGTAGTGAGGCAAGTTTTAGGCAATCTGTTCAAAGTTAATACGTTTATTACATTTATTTTATCATCTCAACTCCAAGTCTGTCTCTGTGCCTTGAAGCACTCTACTATAGCAAGAAATTCTTCATTGACAAAGCCTTTCTGGTTCATAAATAATTATCTTGTATATAGAGTTATTAAATACCCTATAGTATAAGTATAATATATCTGATAACAGTTAAAATTTTTGCAGCTGGAATGATAACATTCTACGCGCTCCACCTTTATCCAGTGATCTACACGACAATACCCGGTAGTCTTCTGATGGGCATACTTCTAGGGCTGCTGTCCAGTGCGCAAATTTCCTTTCTAATGATTTTGACGCATAGAATAGCCGGACTGTTTCACGAAGACGACGAAGATGGACGGTTCGCCAGAAGGACATGTGTCATCAGGAGAATTGCCAGGGCATTCCAGGGCGCCCAGGACTTGGGACTGATTTTAGGATCGGTTTTATCGTTTTTGGTTATTCATTTTACAATCAATATTGGAAATAGTAATGTTGTTGGAGTGGAATCGGAAAACGGGACCGTTTCTATAAATGTAAGTCCCAATTGTCAGAGTTATTTTTTATATTTTTTAACATTAAAGAACGCCTACTGTAATTGATAAGGTGTCATGAGACAAGGCGCTTGATTACTTCAATTATGTTTTAATATCCGCATAGGACGAAATTCTGTTAGAAGAAATGCTATTGGAACTTTCGAACTCGAAATGAAGGCTCCTAAGAAAAAAATCAACAGGTATCAAACGGTCAAAAGTCAAAATGACTATAATCGATTCGTATACCTATATATTATGTAATATGAGGGGCAGGCAATAACACTCCATTACCAACAAATAAAGGAAAGAATCCGGCAGCAGTTTTTTTTTTTTCATAAACTCACCTCACTAAATCATGCAAATAAAATTACCGAAATCTGAATTTTTAACGAACCATAACAATCTGTATACTTTAAAAGTAGGTTATTATCTACCATTACAAAACAAACCGTGGATAATAACGAAAGTAGTAGGTAATAGTTCAGAGAATATGTTTTTTGAAAGGGCAATAGAAGGTAGGTCTTGTCACTCGACATACTTATAAATGGAGTATCAAAATAAGAAGATAAAGGCCTTCCTGGGAAAAACTCAGACCAGAGAGGTGATATTTTGGCAACATGCAGTGCTTAACTGGATGCAAAGATAGTACTGTTTGAAAGCCCAATATCCAAAGAATAGAAAACGGCTAGAGAAGAAGACCATAACACAAAGATAAAAGCACTTTTCTACCATAATCCTGGATAAAAACCAATTAGTAGATCGCTGTGGTATGTAATTTAAGCAGTTATTTCATTCATTTCGACCATCTCTCGTTCTTCTGTCTTGATTGGGGTTTATACCTTCAGGTGTTATTATATGGTCCAAAAATTCGATAGTCTTGCATAAAAATTCTGATTTGTCGAGCTGAATTTTAAGTCCAGCGTCTTTTAGTTTTCCAAGAACTTGTTCTAGATTGTTTATATTTTCTTGAAGAGATGTTGAAGTTATTATTATGTCGTCCATGTAGACAAGACATTTTTTTCCTTGAACGCCTTTTAGAACATCATCCATTACTCTCTGAAAGCTCGAGAGAGCATTTTTGAGTCCGAAGGGCATTCTTAACAAACTTCTCTTTTTTTAGTAGGTACGTTTTTTTTTTTTTCAAAAGAGGCTTTTTTAGTAAATTCTCAAAAATGAGCCCATATATTATCAAATCTTGATTGGGTATGGAACAATGAATAAATTGTGAAAACTCAATTTTCTAGTTTATCTAAATAATATGATAAAGCTACCTGGCAACATAAAATTTCAATTGACTAAGACAGATTTTGAATTAACTAATGCAAATTATCAATTTCAATATTCCAGGACTGTCTCCCAAATTATTCCTCCTGCACAAATCGCACCCAAATCGTAACAGTAACAGCGGCAAACCCCTACGACTATGGCTCGTTTCTGGACGACATTTTCGATCGCACGGAAGATGGACGATTATGCGGCGCACAAGCGTGCCCAATATTTCTATTGGGCAACTCGACCTTACAATCGGGTTTCCGGGTACTACCACTTGACTCGTCAAAAATTTTACTAGCGATCTACGGCGGTGCCTGTGGTTTAGCCTTTCTGTTAGCCGTACTGGGATTGGACAACATCAAGATTTTGGTAATACCTTTTGAGCATAAAATAAACACAATTGATTGTGGGTGTTTTTTTTTAAAGACTTATCAAGACCCTTTGGAACGTGGTCTCGGACTGACAGCCCTGAGAGCTGTAATGGAAAGTTTTAGAGATCCAAGACTGCAATTAACAGCGCCTTTGGCTGTTTTCATGGGCCTTGAACAGGCATTTATTTATGCTGACTTTTCAAAGGTACCTTTAATTTTTCTCACTTACCTATATAACTGAGTAACTAGCAAGCAATTATTCATCGGCAGGAAATATAAAGTAATTTGTTTGTCATATTCTGTAATATTATGTAGGTACTACTCTTCGATAATAACACTGATAAATTTTTCTAGTCCTACGTAGTATGTACACTGGGAATTCATCGTTTGAATTTAGTATTCCTAGCAATGGGTTTACTACAATCAGTAGCCGCTTGTACTTTAAGCATGCTTCTAAGGACAATCAGACGTTATTATGTTGTTGGTAAGTTTACAGCACTATAAGCACTCTGAAATAGTTAACGAAGTGCAACAATTTGCATACTTAATGAAAATTTTAGATTTACATTATAATAATTATTCCAGCTGTCGGATTTGCATTTCAAATATGCTTAATCATGGTGTTATTGTTGTGGAAACCCATTGAAGATGATCCTGCGTTATTTTATGTCATATCCGCTGCTTGGGGCGTGTGTCACGCTATATGGGAGATGATCAGTTTTAGTAAGTGATAATCAGCTTATTCTCAGTTCTAGTTGTTTCAACATACTAGAAAGTCAACTCATTATTCTTTATGCATTTCTTGCATGTTGAAAGATCTCAAAATCCAGAACTGTGACCAAATGTGTGAAAAATTTGAAGACTATCCCTTTTGCTACTTTAACATTTGATAAGAGTTTCAAAAGGAGTAGTTTCAATTAAGACGACAACTGTAACTATTTGAGTCATCTTATACACCACTTCCAGAGCTTAGACTTTAGTGATTCTGGAAATAAGTTATTCTTCTTGTTGTGGCTTAGGATATCCTCAGCAAACTTACTGTCACGAATTCGGCGGTTCAACTAAAATTCTCTGTAATTGACAAAATTCAATAATCACGTATCGCTTCTACTTAATTTTATACAACAACTCTTCATTGGTTTTATACATACCTACCTACTTGTAAGAAACCAGAATTCTCGTAAATATGTACTTGTTTATGCAAAGCACACAATGCAAACTAATTCCTGAATATTTTTGGACTAATCGTGCACAGTGGCGTCGGATTTTCCGCTATTTTTCCTATTATCCTATATTATACAATACAGTTTTCTAGTATGTTGAAACACACCTTGTGAGTAGTATTTAGTATATTAAAGTATAAGTGGATATTAAGGTCTTTAAAACACGCGCGATTTTTCGAGCACGACGGCGCAGCCGAGTGCTCGAAATAGAGCAAGTGTTTTAAAGACCAGTTATCCACGAATACTTTACACTATTTTTTTTATTTGTATACGTTCAAATCATAAATTACTAATAATTGTAGAGTGCAAATTTGTGCTTGACACTTGTTACATTTTATTTGACGTTATCTACAAGTACCTAACCTACTCCTGACAAATCAATAATTAAAAAGTTGACATTTAGACCTTTCTCGGGTTGTTGATGTTGTCATTGGTAACTTTAAAACACGCGCGTTTTTGAAAGTTGGATTTGAACACGCTGAGGAGTACTTTAAATAAGTGAAATAGGGTATCAATAAAAAAATATATATTTTTTTATTTATTTAGCTCTGCTCACCGGTCAATATTTGGACCATTGGGAAGCGGCCTTTGCAAATCGCGCCTTTTTCAAATTCCTCGGTTTTTCCGTGGCCTTCGTGCTTCACAGTTTCCTGTGCAACTACATGAAACTCTACATTTTGGCCTTCGTTATGATTGTATCGGTGATACCGTTCGCCCTGTTGGAATATCGTTTGGAGAATATCAGAAAAATTCGCAACATCACCCGCTTATGACCCAAATTAAATCTCTTCTGATCCGCTCGTAGGTATTTCGTAACGTACACATATCAGGTACTGCGTACTGTGCATTATTAGTAAAAGTGTTTTTTTTTTTGGTGGTCAATAAATGATAGTTAATAATTATAATATATAGGGTGGTCCAGACTAGAACGTGACTACAAAAATAAATGTTATTTAAATATTTATAACCAGGTTTTACATTAGTAGATGATTTTTGTGTATAGGAAGATTGTAGACGAATTACCTAATGATTCTTGGAGCAGTTTGTATAACAGATTGTTGAATTCGTCCACGTTTTTCCAGAATCAAGGGTAAAATGGTATACCTACCTATTGGTTGTGTCTTCTAACTTAAAAAAAGCCTTCAAAATGAGTTACCTATTAATTTTATATAAAAACTATATTTCTGGTGTATCTATAAAAGATAAACTCAGTAGGTATTTAGATTCCTATTGCTAGTGTACTATCCATCTAGGATTTTCTATTGTAGACCAAATTGGGTGTTCTGATTTTATTTTTTAAAATGTTGTTGGGAATAATAAGGCAAGTGAATTGGTTTGAATTTAGTTCACCAACTAGTAGAGTTATGGTGTAGCTGATATTTTAGCATCAAAGAAGACATCTGTGATGTATATTTGTAAATAATTATGTACCTATGTATAAGTATTTGTATTTGAAATATTTTTAAATCCTTAAAAAAAGGGTTGTTATAACACCTTCAAGTGTCTTTTTAAACAATCTTGTTGTATATTTAAAATAAAAGATTCTTGCAATTTTTTTCTTATATTTTTACCTATATTTTGCTAAGCAGCCACATTATCACCGTTATAATAATTAACCATGATGGGTTAGAATAAGAAGGAAGTGTAAACTTTTTTCTACATAATCTCGGACTTCTATAATATGCATAGATTGCAGAGAGTTGTAATATTTATATATGTTAAACTTCGGTATCAATGACATACTGTTTTGACTACAGAAATTTTTAGCTAAAACGCATTTCATCAGAATTGTTAAGTTCATTATTGGCAATATTGCTATCACAAATAAAAGATTTCATATGCGCCTGGAAAGTCTTTGAATAGCTACAACAAAATGCTTGACGCGGAGAACGGTAATTTTGGAGAATTTTCTCACCATATTTGTAATTTAAATTATACATATTCTTATGCAATTCCTATCGTATTTCATAATTTAAGCGGATACGATGCGCATTTCGCGATAAGGGACTTGTTTGCTATATGGCTTCAGTAAGAACACGACTGCACAGAATATTCTAGAGGAGGCACAAATGCGGAAACACACTTAACGCCAGTGTTATAAACAATGTTTTTTCTGCGACCAATTTTATTCCAAAAAGGAAAATTGTATTCCTAATTTAAATTATTATTGTACAAGGCCACAACCTCTGTGAAAACCAGATTGGTTAAAGACAGGTACTTTAATTAAAGGAACAAGTAGGTAAGTATCTTGTATAGGAATGTATTCGACAATCTTGTGAAATTTCATTCGTGTTGTTTCATTTCATTATTGTCTTAGAAAAATCCCTTAATTTAATTATTCTGTAGTCAAATCATATTGAAGGGATCATACACAATAAACTATTCAAGAATAAATTAACTATTTATTTCATTTCATCAAATTTTAAGGTACATTTCGTAAAAGTAACTCTTTAGAAACAGATAATAATAGTACGACCTGTACATGTCTTGGACCCTAATGACAACAGTATGGTATGGTATGTTAATTTTTTTCTTCTAATTTAATAATTAATTAATGTCTACCCAAAATTCATTAATAATAATAATCATTTCTCTCTAAAGCAGTAGTGGTCCGAATATAGAAAAATGTGGAGATCAGTATCAAATGCAGATAATAAATGATTAATTGACTTTTATTAACAAGAGTTTTCTAAAACTTATATATCTTCACTGTGAGCCAAATTAAAGTACCTTTTTCAATGTTGAATAACTTTTTTATTGTAGTTAATGTTTTCCCGGATTATGGGTCGTGGTTAATTGGCATTTTGCCTACAACTGCGGTAAGAATTATCAAAGCAGTTTGCCCAAAAAAAAAATCATTAGCTACAATGAAACTAGCGTCCGTAAAGGCCTTGAATTTTTAATGACTGATTTTAGTGTTTTTTGATAATATCTTCACCTGAAATTACTTTGCCCGAAATATTAACTTGGCCCACAGTCTACCTTTATGTCGTAGGCTTATTGTAAAAGCAGTATTATTATATTAATATACACCAAGGTCTATTTAGGTGAGGTAAAAGACGTATTGTAACAAACGAGAATTTCACAATTTTGACTGAGAAACTATGAAGGCTATATCAAAAAAAAAAAAAATTATGTTATCGATTACAATTTTTTCCGGTAGAGGTAAACCAAGGTATATTTTGTCACAAAAATCAAGTAGGCAAATAATTGTTTTTTTGTATCATGTTACAATACAACTTAGCTCTATCAGAGAAAACTCAGATGTTTAGTTCTAATAAGCCTACAACATAAATTTATGCTACATTTGACCATTTGACAACGTCTCTATCGAATCACTACACTGTACTTTCGTGCGGCGTTGTCGTTTTATTCATCACCACAATATCAGACGGATAAACGTATTTCTTTCTGCGCACGAAATTTGGCGATGGCGTCCTGTCGGCACTATTATTTAAGCCGCTCAAAAGAGGCAAAGCCTCTGTTCTAGAAAAACACTGCGGCTGATTGTTCAAGTCACTTTCACTCATTTGTTCCGATTCCGCTATTGTCCGTTGTTTTCCTTTCGACAAAATCGTTTTAATAGGGACAGTGGTGCTGATGGTACTAGGAACTGGTGGTAGTATTTTAGGTAATTCGGGCTGCTGTTTTTGTTTTTTGCCTTTGAAAAGCCGCCATCTTACCGGCGGTGAGTAGTGGGCCTCACAAACAACCGAATCTACAGTAATAACTTGAGGATTGAATGTTACATTTTTAATGGTATCCGATGGTGTTCTACAAACACTACCGGAATCTATGGACGAACTAGGTTTGCTAGGCTGAAACTGGATGGATCTATGTACATCGTCTGAAGCTAAGTCTATGGCGAGGTTAGAAATAATATCTGGATCGAGTTCTTGAGGTGTGCTGGGTGAAAGTAATTGAGGATACACCGGAGTGGAGGAAGAGCTTCTGAAATAAGGCGGTGGACTGGCCAGAAGATCTTCTAAAATGTTGGGGTCCGAGTTGAAGAATTCCTTACAGCCAGCACTAGTTAGGACGTTATCTAGGATGTCTTCTGCTGATTGAAAATCGCTTCCGCTGGATGGACGTGCTTCAATACTACACCTGAAATATCAATTTATGTCTTAGATTGAGAAGATTTTACATCGTACGAACAAGCAATCTCTCGACAATTTATCGCTTATTGATTTGAGAGGATAAACACTATTTTTTATGAAAAATATTGAAGTGGTCCGGTAGCTGATCACATCAAAAGATAGTTTACATTTATCCAAAGTGAGAGAAAAATGTTGGGAAAGAAACTCAAAACTTATCTATAGAAATTGCTTCAATGTTCGATGAACGGGTTTTTCATATTGTATTTGACTAGATGTAAGTTTATCAATGCTAAAGAACGTTCCTTTGATTTTCACTAAGCTAATCGTATTTTGTCGGTTCAAACCAAAAGACGATAGCACAACTTTCAATAGCTTGAAGTTTGGCTCTTGCTTGAGGTAGGTATTAAAATGTTAACTACCTACCATTTGAAAAACTCGCCTTTAAAAATACTAAGTAAAATCCTTACCCAACACCTAAGAGACTCTCTTTCTTGCACCCTCCATCAGTTTTACTGCAGCATTTGTTGCTACTGGATGCGGACTCAAAGCTTAAGTTGCTACTCGAAGAACTTTCGTTATTATTATTAATAAACAACGTAGGAAACTTTTTGCACATTTCAAAACTCTTGATGTTCCTGAGATCGTCTGCGCACGTGCTCAAATTGCCGATAATTTTTGGAGTGCGTCGCATCATCTTAAATATAGGAAAACTTTATAATATATTAAATAATTTTTTTATAAAGAAATTGATTGAAATTACCTTGGGTGTTGCACAAATTTCGGCGACAACGCTTGTTGCGACTAGGCTAGCTCTCGAGCTGATGCTGGATATTTCGGACATGCTTTCCGGACTGGCTAACGGGGCTAGTCCTAGCCAGTCGTCGTGGATCAAGTCTATTTTTGGTACTAGGTTTAGGCTGAGGCTTTTGGTTATTGATGGAGGCTCTTCGTACTGGAAAAGGCATATTTAAGGCTAAGTTTTGACTATAGATAAGAGTAGGATTTCTTATAGGATCAATGGAAAATTGCGAGAAGGAATCTGACCTGCATAAGCAAGTGCTGAGATGGGATACCTATTGAATATTTACAACGAAGGATTTCCAAGTAGACAATAGAGCGAGAGCCGCCAAGGAATTTAAAAAAAAAACACAAAGCAGGCCAAAATTAAATATTAATGTAGTAATGGATTGCTTATTAGTGTCGAATGCATGCAGTGCCACCATCCTTCAGTGGCTTTGTAGTTGTCAAGGCATTTTATCTAACTGGTGGTTTGAAATCAGTGGGTTTCAAAATGTGGCTTGTTTGACCAATTCGTATCATCCTCTGTCTATTGTCGATGAACCAGAAAATGGGTCTGCATAAACAATTTTGGTGCTATTCTCCTTATAGTTAGTAGACCTTTGTAGTCTTGGCGTTTGCTAAGATTCTTTATGGTAGGCCTTTCAACACTATTGTTGTTTTCCCGTCTATTGGCGCAAAAATTCCTAACAATTATTGACAGATTTTCGAAGTTTGCTTCAGTTGGGATTGCATCACAATTAATAAGATATTTCCGATAACGGAACTGAATTTAAAAATGCAATTTTAACAGATTTATGTACTTTACATAAAATCCAATTCCATTATACGACACCTCGGAACCCTAATTCGAATAGTCCAATAGAAAGACTACATTTTACCCTGAGTGAAAGTTTAACAAGCTTGAAATTACAAAGCTTTAGTAAAAACATTAATGACTTAATGGTAATTGCAATCTTGAATTATAATAACAGCATACATAGTGTTACAGATTATACACCTTTTCAAATAATTAAAGGCGATTTAAATTATTCTATACCTATTGAAAATTCATAGAATAAGATAACCACAGATTATATTAATAATCTTGCCGAATCATTAGAAACTCTAAATAATGTAATTCATGACAAATTAATATCAAAACAAACACAGAATTTAGAGAAAATCAATAAACAACATGAAAAAGAACCTGAATTAAAGGATCCTATTTTTATTAAGCATTTTGACAGAAATAAAATTAGTCCTCGTTATGGTGCTAAAGCACAAGTCAGATATAATAAACAAATGGTAAAGCGACAACATTTTGTTTCAGAAAAACCAAAATGTTCCCGGCAGCTTTCATCATCCTCCTCATAGGAATTTCCAGTAACGCCTACACGTTAACTCCATTAAGAAATCCTATTTTACCGATTTCTATAGGAACCACTTACATCACAACACAACATAACACTGCATGTTATCACATTAACACTACCCTTATTGGAAACACTATTAAAACTCTCGAAATAACTTGAAAGAATTTAAACAATACTTTACATCTAACCAAATGGTCTAATAAAGACGAAATTGTTACTTTATTACAAGTAAATATTGAAACTAGTCAATCACGTATCAATACATTAAAGAAATTTGTAAAACAATTTTCACACGATCGAAATAAACGTGGAGTACTCAATTTCATAGGTACAGTGGCTCAGCTAGGTCTTAGTAGTCTGCAGAGTGGCGGTAAAATGATGGATTTGCCCTGCTGGAGTAGAGCAGCCCAGAGCTGGCGATTTGAATGGTTCATAAGAGTTTTTTACCCAATCTATTTTTTTCATAGGCTATGATCTCTTTTGCTGCGTCCCAGTTCTCTTTAGTAGTCTTGATTTTGTGATTACGATGAATTGGTGAGTTTTTATCCGTTTCGATTTCGACTGATTCTGGGAGATGAGTGTGCAGTAGGATCTGCAAAGTCTCTTTTCCAGAGCCTGCGTAGATGCCATTTGGTCCCAACTGTATTTACAGGATCCTTAGACAGTATTTTTTGAAGTCTCACTGCTACATTGGTGTTTTCAACCTCTCTCCATGATTCAGTTTTTGCCTTCCGGATTTGTTTATTATACATAGGGTTGAGGTGGAGTGGTAGTCCTCCCACCTACCCGTTTTTCTCGCTCTGCACTCAAAAAAATCTTGATCATAATATCAATGAACTGCTTTCATAAATTACATTTTCATTGATTCAGTGAAATTTTCATTAATCCCAGGTACAGAAAACTGTAAGTATTATGATTTCATGAACAGCTATCATTAAAATAAAGAATGAAGCTTCATCAAGTTATGAATAGTCATCTACATGAATCTATGTTGAATAGTGCATCGGTTACAAGAACTAAGTTCATTGATATTATGAAATTAAACCTTGATATTAAAGAAAATTTCTTTGATGGGAGCTTCCACGGAATATTCATAATATAAATGAATATTAACATGAATAATATGAATATGGTTCATATGACCTTACTAGAAAATTATCCTTTTAAGAACGAAATTCATTGATACAATGTACGGTTCATTTAAAACAAGCAAGTATTCCTAGAAACAAAGCTGCAACCATTACATCAAGATAAATCATAAATACAATGAAACAGTTCATAGCATTAATGTAGACAGTTCCTAAGCACATGCGCAAAGGTAGCTGCAGTCGGGCAACGACATAGAAAAATATGTTGAAATAGGAATAATTACATTTCTATTTTCTGGGTGCACTGCTACGTACTTCGTTCAAGTCGGTTTTTTCGGTTTTGTGTTGTTCGAAGTGTTAAATAGAAAGTCGATTATACCTGTCGCCGGTTTTTTCTAAAGGTAAGTTGTATACCTCTATTACCTCTATAATATGTATACCTATTATGTAGGTAGGACTTGGATGCCTTGCACGGAGACGGTCTAGTCTCAAAATGGGAATACGAAAGAAATGACCTACAGATTTGAATGTCATCCGGGGAGAACGTGAAAGACAAAAGCGTCAAGAGCTCCTCAGAATTTCTAAGGAATACTGAAGTCTCTAAAAGTAAGTATACTCAATCCCAAATCAAGTTGTAATTTATTTAATCGATATATTTTTGTTAAATGGTTTTGTTTCACTAGGTAGAAAAGCAGAAGATTCAATACCGCAGCTAGTGTTTCATAGCCGAAGCAAGGAAACCAGCCAAAGCATCAAATCTTATTTTCTGATGTGGCTTGTTTTAGAAACTTTGGATGTTGATAGTTCAAAAACAGCTGGAACAAATATAGATATAATATATATTTATGGAAACAGGATTTAAGGAGGATTTGAAAGATAATAGAATATACGGTTAGTGTCATTTAAAATAAAAATACATAAGTAGGTACTTAGATTTTTAAATTTTCAGATTTTGGGATGCCCATTGGTTTGTTTGACAATTCTGGAAGATGATACGAAGAAACCATGCAACTTTTGCATTAAAAGCTTTTTTCCTATTGCTCATATTCATCAGTACAGGGGACACGCAAATATAAAAAATGACCCTTTACCCCATTTAAAATCATAAGTATATTTAAGGCATAATTCATGAAATTATTTTAATAAAAATAAAGAATATGGTATATATTATTGAAAACGTCATTATTAAATATAATGAATGCAATTCTTAGTATTCAAGACTGTGATTCATAAATACAATGAAAGGGTTTCATCAAATTATATCCGGGCTTCATTAATATTATGCCGTCTGTTCATCAGGACAATGAAAAAGTACATATAAACTAAGAACGATGTTTATTGTTACTATGAAAAGTTTCATTAATACAAAAACCTTACTACATACCTTAATGTTCGTTGTTCATACACAAGATGAATCGAAATAGGAATTAAGAAATTGTTCATACTTCAATAACCTAGAGTTCATGTAATCAAAGAAACCGTTCTTTGGACCGATTTTAATGAATTGTTCATTAAATCTAAGAACAACTTCTTTTTATTTATGCTACTATTTGGTTGAGTGTGGGATCTCAAAGGTCTCCCCTAGTTGATGCTAAAATGATGGAACCACTAAGGAACGCCTTAAAATTGTTGAAATACTTCAATAATTTCGTCAATTATATTCCTAACTATACAATCAATGGAAAAGATGGTCTCTAAAAATAAAATTCTTACCTTCGTCAAAGATAATTGTTGACTCTTAAAAGACAAATCCGATCTGTTACTCCTGACAGACGCATTGAAATTAGAAGCTGTAGGATGTCGCAACGATACAAGCGGCGACGGATGACTTTTTGTGGAATAGTAACCATTAGTAAAGGACGAATTACTTGAAGGATTTTGCAGTGACGTAAAACTAGTTTCCAAAAAGGCGTTTGGATGCGAAGAAGCGGCTGATAGATAATTTGTAGTTGTAACTGTATCACTCGTAGTTGATGATGATCGATGTGGCTTTTTAGGACCCATTGTGGTTATAACCTGTGATAACAGGTTAGGTGTAAATTTAAAAAAAATATATTAAAACATTTGTTAATTTAGTGCTAAATCATGCATAAAAAAATAATCACTTACTTACAGGCTATCTAGGATCACGTTCACCGTTTACATTAATGGAATAGTCAAAAAAGGAGGTTGTTGCTTGCTTGGGGGGTGTCCAAAACATAAATGTATAGCAGAAGGAAATAATAAAGGCGGAAATAAAATAAACAATTAAAATATAACACAGCAATAGCGGCAAGACAAATTTTGATGTCATTGTTTAGATAATTTTATTGCGAATATAGTATCTAATGTTCAATTGACCATAATCTTATTTCGGAATAAATATTTCCAATTATTGGACACTGTGTTATTGCATGCAGCACCTAGCATAAAAATGCTATCTATATTTCTATTTAAACTGATTCTTTCTCAAATCGTCTTCTTCAATGACCATATGTAAGTATGTGGAAATAATAAGAAGCTGTAAGTTTAAAAAAGCAATAAGTTCTGCAACAAAAATCAATTTATGGACAAATTCGATATTGTCCATGCAAGATTTTCCTGGTGTTATCAAATTTGTCCATGTTCATTTTCTGTGTTCTATGGTTAGTGAGTGATATAGGTAAAGCCTGACTGAAAAAAAATAGAATGTGCTGGTAAAAAAAAGAAAAAAAAAAAAACACGATTTGGTATTATGGGTACTTTACCTGATGTCTTGCGGCGCGGGCCTTACATCGTAGGCCGACGTTTCGGCCCTGAAAGGTCCTAAGCCCTGATGATGTCGGTTTTGGTGGGGGCTCTTGTCCACCTGTCACACACTGCCAATCAGACACCAATACGTCATCAACATTAAAACGAGATGCCATGCATATAGTAATTTTGGCAACGGTGCAACAATAACAAACTAATTTTGTTTGGTAGCAGCAATCAAGGTGAATACAATCAATTATTATAAGTACTCTCATCCATAGAATAATTTAATGTATTTTACAAGAAATTTCAGTGTTTTTGAATTTGAATGGAAGAATTAAGTTCAGGTTTAGATATACCCAAGTAGTTAGCTTCATGTACCTACATGATTCAATGATCAAGTATGTATGGGAGTGGAGTCATCTCTTTATAATAATTCTTAATAGTACAAACATATTGATTAGGGAATAATGAAGAAATTGACACAAATTCCATGCTTTTTGAATCATCAAATTCAATTTCCTAGGAAAAATGGTATTTGTACATTTGCAAACCCACTAATGTGGATCATAAACAAAACACAGAGAAATTTATTTGTCTGAGCCTGATTCTTCCATTCACGAAATATTTTTTTCTACGAATTAGGACTATCATTTAATACAGGAAGGGTAAAACATTTTTCCTAGAAGGAAAGGCAAGTGGAAAAAAACCGAAAAAGACATGATGCAACGTTCTTAAGTAAAAAATAAAACAGCCATACTCTATACCTACTCTATTGCCAACTTGTATAATGGATAAAAGAAGGCATTCAGTATAGAGTGACAACATACAAATACATATAACAGGAAGAGCCAATAATTATACAGCAAACTAAAAAAAAAACAGAATAAGCAAATTAAGTATGTAATTAAATAAATTTATTTGAAAAAAATTAATAGCATATGACCTAAAATTAAATTAAGTATAAAAAAAATAAATAATACATAGAAATTATAAGTAGATACATCTAGCTACTAGTTTTTGCTATCATCCGTGCAACATTGAAGTATTTTTCGAGGCTACATCGTCTTTAAATGTGCTGGTGTAAACATAGTCATTTTCTAAAGTCTTTCTTATTTCAATTGATTAAATTGAAAGCAATCCGTCTCTCATGATAGGTAGGGGTTAAATAAATGGAGAAAATTGTAAGCAGAATATTCAGTTTTTAATCAAAAAATATAGAACTAGAACAAGAAGAAAAGTTTTTCGAATGAAATGACTATGTTCACACCTTTGTTATTAGTAAATTCATAGTAATTTTTTTTATTATGATCAAAAAAGCAAATTCAGTCATAATCCTGCTCCAGTTGGATGGGATTAGCGTGCGCCAAGTGGGAACGTACCTTACTGAGCGCCTCCATCACTTTATCTGGCATATGGTCCTGGATCATTACTGGGGAGATGAGTACTTCGTCGAAATCGGTATTGGAGGCCCATAGGGCTTGGTAGACTGGCTCTTTTTTCGAAAGGGCTTGCCTGAAAATACAATAATCAGAAAATGAGCGTTTGAATATTGATTATTCCTCTTATTACACGAAAGATTTGATTTGTTTCACATAATAAACTTGTAGGTTATAGAAAAAATAAAATTTCCAGTTCGCCTAATAATAGAGGAATACAATCACGTAGGTACCTACTCCGATTAAAAAAAACCATTTCAGATCACAAATAATCTAAACAACATTAATCTATGTCACATCAATATAAACCAAACCTACTTTGATAGCTGTGGTGTAAACCTAGTAATTTCGATTAGGGTCTTTTTTTCTGCGATCCTCTGAAAAGTCAACATTTTAGAAGTATATATGTATATGGAAATATCAAATATATAACAAATAAAAGTTCATTTCATCCGAGGATTGACAATTTCTCCTTCATTGGGTTAATAAATGTTCATTGAATAGATGCCTACTGGAGTCCTCTATATTTAGGGCCGGTTTATCAATAGAGGGTTATCCCATGAGTTAGGGATAACCCTGGGTCAAAGTTGTGACAAGTGTTTCATCCAGGATCAACTGCTAACTCGAGAGTTATTCCAGGAAAAAGTTAACCCGCGCTCTCACGGCAAGTTAGCGTATTTGACCCTGGGTTAACCTCAAAATTTTCTGTTATTTTCTTTTCTGCATTTTTTGGAATGTGGTGGTTTTGGCTTAAATTTTGAAATTCTGAACTCTGAAGAGATGGAGGACCTAGATTTCAGTGATGATGATCGAAAGATGAAATGAGAATTTCTAAAACATGAGCGGCGCCACTACCACGTAAGGTTGAGGTTAAATCCCTAATCCCTTTGACAATTTCGATGACGTCGACGCGTTTTCGTTTGCGGAAAGAAACAATTTTATTTGTTCTAGTACAAATCGAGCATAGACTCGAATTCCCAATAGACAGGTACGTAAGTACCTATGCTTCTGGTTTTTTCTTTCAGAAATTTTCTCTTTAAAACAGAACAACATATTAAACACAATAGGTACACGAAACCGTACTTTTCGTTACAGAAATGGAAAAAAAGAAGAAAAAAATAACATAAATAAGTAAGGTTATGAGGAGAAAATGTTCAAAAAACAATAAAAGTTAGCTGGCAACGTTGCGTAATGCCAATCTTCGAAGAACCCGAGAGTTTACCAGCCCTGGGTTAAAAAAGCTTGGATAAAAATCTATCGACTTGACTAGGTAGTTAGCCCAGAGTTATAGTTGACCGAGGGTCAGCAAACTCTGCGAGTTATCCCTTGATTGATAAACCGGCCCTAAATGTTAATCGGAAAAGGTTAGGTTTACACCGTCGTTGTTAACCACTGACAGCAAAAGTATAAAAAATCTAAGGGTAGGTAATTCTCTTCACATAATTAATAATTACGTCTTCATGCTCTGTCAGAATTTTCACCAACTATTTTGCAATAGAAGAACGAAAAAAAAAGTATGATTTAGAAATAGGAAAAGAAAAGACAAAATTGTTGGTGAAATTTTTAAGGTTAAACGTTACACTATAGTAAACAACTGTCATGCGCTTTAATTGGAGAGGGATTAAATGCACTGAGAAAAATAAATGATTTTACCTCCATCTTTTTTCATACTTTTGTCTGTAAATGCAAAAAAATATCGATTATTATTATCACAAAATATAAAATACAATCTTGTTTTAAAAAAAATCAAAACTTACTGTCCTGCAGTAGGATGATGCCGCACCACGTGTATAATCCTTCCCGGAGGATACAAAGGCTGGTGACTGGTTAGGGCTATGCTACTATCCGAAGGGTGTATGCCCATACACCGCGCATTCTGTTTACTGCGCATATAGTCGCAAACTTCAATTTCACCCGTCGACATTTCCACGGCCGAGGTCGGTTGTGAGCAACCGCAACAGATAATACTACAGGTTATGGTTTTCCACTGTGGAAAAAAATCTTGGAAGTTTTTCAAAAACAATTAAAAGTTGTAATAGACTTACCTTGGGGTCTACGCTTCGTTTAATGGCATTTATTAGATCTGTTCTAAGCGTCTCCATTTGATGAAGCCCAATTCTAGGAACTACGTCTTTGCCTATCACTACGGAAACTGTAAATTCTTTGGTATATTCTACGGCGGGGGCCGAGAGCAGGCCTCCTGGGGGCGAGTAGCAGAAGCATTGCAAGGTAGGATGAGTTTGGCGCATGAGAATTCCCAATATACTTGCAGTGCCTAAATTATTTAATAATTATTAGAAATATAATAGATGATCTACTCTATAAGGTATATCATTATGTCAAAGTTGGGTATGAAAACCTTTTAGGGATTCTCATCTTTGAAACCTTTAAGAGGAATGAATACACAGTTTTGGTCTCGTTTGGGTCGTTTCGAAGAAACTTGATGCTTCTGGCCAACCCAAATGGCGCGTCGTAATCGACTACCGTAAAGTCAACGAACTTACAGTGCACGACAAATACCCGCTACCTAATATTTCCGATCTTCTGAATCAATTGGGAAAATGTCAATATTTTACCACCCTTGACCTAGCCTCAGGTTTTCACCGAATAAAAGTAGACCCCAAAGATGTTTCGAAAACCGCTTTTTTCCGTAAAAAATGGCCATTACGAATTCGTACGTATGCCCTTTGGATTGAAAAATGCCCCGTCCACATTCCAAAGAGTCATGGACAATATTCTCCACGTAGTTTTCATTCTATTGACTTAACTCTTGAAATATTTTCTGCTCCAGAGTGCAGATTAGCAATCTGATGTGTATAGCTAAGCGGAAGGTGAAGTTTTATTACCATTGAATGAAGTAGGAACGGCCAATTCGTTACACACAGGATTGTTTTTTCGTGGTGTGGTCAACTAAGCAATGACTACAGAGCAAAATCTTAAACATTCTAGAATAATAATTCGCCACTGTAGTTTACTTCCAAAAATGTATTGAAATCAACCGGATCTCTTGTACAAGAAAGAATTCTGAGTTCGACAACTGTTTGTAATCAGATTTCTGCTCATCGCATTGATTTACTGTCATGCGCAAAAGGGATAGGGAAAATCGATGATAATGGGATAAGGAATGTGAAGAAATTAACACCTACATAGGATGAAGGAAATGCTCAGAGGTATGGAGATTTATATCAAATGTCAAAAACCCAGGAAAGGACAGAGCTAATATCCAGATTATTAAACCAGAGCAATGGAGAGAACATTACAAAGGTCTATTACAAGAATGTAGACCGGAATATATATTAGATTCTCCAAGACATATTGAAGTACATGGAGTAGTTGAGATATCTGAAGGAACAGTGAAAAAGACTGTTAAGAATCTTAAGTTAGGTAAAGCTAGCGGCCCAGAAGGGATATACTCAGAAATGCTGAAATGGGGAACTGAGAAGTTCTTTAAAGGTCTCACATGTATTATCAATAAATGCCTAAATGGACATCCTGTTCCACAAGACTGGAAAACGGCTATTATATCATCCATTCACAAAAAAGGAAATAAGCTGGATTGCAATAACTATATCGGGGCATATCAGTCACAAGCACACTAAGCAGACTATACGGTAGAATTCTGCGTGATCTCATTGAAGAAGATTATAAAGAGCAAGAAGAAGAAGAGCAGTGCTGCTTTAGAGCAGAAAGGTCAGGTACGGACAACGTATTTTGCCTAAAACAAGTCATAGAAAAGAGACTTGCTAGATATTTGGAAACCCACATTTGTGGACTTACAAAAAGCATACGATACAGTCCCAGTATCCAGATTATGGAAGGTATCAGAACAATCCAACATCAATCACACCTATATAACGGCACTTAAAGAACTATATAAAGACTCAAAATCAAGAATTAAGATAGGTAAAAAACTTACAGACACATTTATAGTAAATAAAGGACTACGTCAAGGATGTTGTATCTCTCCTACGCTTTTTAAAATATACGTAGCAGTAGCACTGAAAAATTGGAAAAGGAAGATCCATGGAATGGGTATAGAGATAAATGATAGGTGCCTGTTTACTCTTCAGTTTGCAGATAATCAGGTCATAGTGGCCAGTGACAAAGAGGACATGCAATATATGATTAGAAAGCTGATAGAAGAGTATCCAGAATGGGGCCAGCGAGTTAATATAAATAAAGCAAAATATCTATATCTATGTGTAGGCACCCAGAACGGAAACTTGGTCAGGAAATTCTGCAATGTCAAGAATATGAGTATCTAGGTATCACATTCGAAAACACCGGAACAGACGTGAAAGAAATAGAAAAGCGAATAGTTAAAGCTAAAAAAGCAATAGGATGCCTAAATGAAATATTATGGAGCAAGGAAATAACAAAGAAGAGGAAATTCCATATATACGAGACAATGATAAAGAGCAGCCTTCTATATAAAGCCGAGACTTGGAGAATTACAGACAGTCAAAAGAAAAAAGTGGAAGCAGTTGAAATGGATGCTAGAAGGTCCATGCGAATCTCACGAAGAGACAGAATAAGGAACGACAATATAAAACAACAAATGGGCATAGAAGGCACGATAGTTCAGGACATTGAAAAGAAACAACTTACCTGGTACAGACACGTAGAACGAATGCCAAATGACGGGTAGCCCAGAAAAATGCTGCATTGGCAACCAACAGGTAGGAGAAAACGAGGAAGACCAAAACTGGGATGTCAGAAAACCATACAAAAGTCCATGAGTGAAAGAAATCTCTCATCAGAGGACTGCGACGATAGAAGAGGATGAAAACTAGGTGTCGGACAACGAAGAAAGATGTTCTAAAACGACATATATACATATACATAATCGATGATTCAGTTTTATTGGGTCAGAGCACCAAACATCAACTATTCGCCCCTATTGAGTGAAAATCAACATCCTTCACTAGATAACTTATTAGTTCAGCTGAACTCTCAAAAAAGTCCACAGGTAATAAAATATCAACTGAGAAGTTCCATGACAACAAATTCTTACCTGCTCCTAATGAGTGTCCAACAATAACAACATCAAAATCTTTAGTCCCTTTCTCTGGCCTTCTAGCTCTGGCCTTCTCCAGCAACTCTTCCTGTTCGATCTTATCGAAAATATACTGCGCAGCTTGCACCATGCCCTTATGCCCAGTCCAATCTTCTTGGGCCGGTTCCAAGGGAATTGTTTCGCTTTCCGCATTTAGGTCCGTCAGAATATCCTTCATGGACAACGTCCCTCGAATACTAATAACGATTTTTTTCCGATCGTAATCTAGTGCTACAAAGAATGGCGTCTCGCCCACGTCCACGTGATAAGTGGCGTAGATGATTTCAATGTCACCTAAATCGGTTAGGGTTTGTAGAGCAGCGTAGTTGCATCTACAGCAATTGTCGGCTACTATTTCGGCATCTTCTTCGTGACGTTTACGGCAAGGAATGCAACAGCAACATTGAAGTCCTGGAATATGAGAAATTTAGGAAATTGGTTTTGAACCAAATTAGGCAAAACTACCTGTACAAAGATGACAAACTCCGGTTTTGTTCATCATAACGTAGATGGGCCAACCGTAGGCCCTCACAGCATAGTGAGCGTAATGGATGACGGTCTGGAACAGTTCCAGATCGGCGCCATCTTCGTGTAACGACAAAAATTGTGTGCGAGGTGTAACGGCTACACCTGATAGGAATTCGTAGGTATCGTGTTTACGCTAAATGAAAACAATAATATTTCAATAATTATAAATAAATAAGACGTGACATGTTTCTGAATCTTACCTGGTCAACGATGGCTTTGCGTTCGATTTTCTGGAACTTTCTCAACAGTACCAGACCTACGACGACATCCGAAGGTACCACGTCCAAATCCCGAAAGAAATCGGACAATAACCGAGCGATGTCGGCAAATGAGTTTCGATTTCTGTCGGATGGCGACGAACAACAAAACAGGAAGCGACATCTGTTTTGCCAGCTGTCTTGGTAGGCACGTAGGACTTTTCTGGAAAAAAATAGAACATCTTCATACCTATTTTTTTAGGCTGTTGATGTTAGATAACCCAAATTAACACCAGGTCCCAGAGCAAAAAATATTTGAGATCTTGAATGCTATCGTGTGGAAAAATAACATGAAATCCTACCTGACGTTTCAAAATTCTCTTGTAGGTATTAAACCACAGCTCAATATTACCATCAAATAGGATAAAGATGTTGGAGCAGATTTTATTGAAACCATTCGAATTTTTGCTAAATATTTTGGAGAAAAGTAATAAGTAGATTGTATTTATTTCCAATCTTATTTTTCTTCAGCGTTTCGGAGGTCTCTACTTTGAGTCTTGTGTTAAGAGGGACGTTCAATTTCGTGTCTTTATTTCAGTATTTTCTCCGTCGTCGTACTCATTTTCCTATGTCTTGATCTTTTTCCCCCGCAAGAATGTTTCTTGTTATTTTCTTTTCCACCACATATTCCTATTTCACCGTTCATGTTGTGATAGTAGTTCCTTCATATTATGATGTCTCTCAGGCATTCTGAGATTCGATATGCTTTCATCGTTGTTCTCTGACTTTCTATAGACTTCTAAAACCTGTTTGTTATTTCAGATCATAAATACTTGAAGTGATTCACTTCCTTGATAATAATATTCTGATTCTGAGAGTATGTAGTCTATACAGGTCGTCTTCTAAGTCAGCCATATATAGGTATTGCTTTATCAGCATAGCAAATAGCATTGAATTAAGTTTCCCATGTCTTATATGTTGAAGTTTCCCAAAGGCTGACCATGAAAGATGGATTCGTCTGTATTGATGAATATCTAATCACTGGTGAAAAAGTATCAAAGTAGGTACCTAATCTATGCCATACTCTTGTGTGAACCCCTTGGCTACTAGTCTGGCTTTGTAACATAAATTGTTTTCATCGATATCTTGTTTTACTTTGTACACCCATTTAGATTTGACAATGTTAACTTCTTTTGGCTTTTAAACTAGAATCCAAGTAAAAAGATTCATGAAGTGAATCAATTTCATCTTGCATTGCAACTCTCCACTCTGAAGAAAAATCACTAGAAATTGTTTCATTGAATGTTTTTGGCTCAGAAAAATCAAAAAAAGTTTGATATACCAGATGATCTATCTCGAATTGGATATATGCATTCTGATTCTTGATCTAGTTGTTTTTTCTTGAACTGGAAGGTTTTGCTGTTGAGATGTGACCTTATTAAAAGAACTTCTTTATTTGATATTTGTTCTTGAGAAATCATCATCGGTCTCACTTGCTTGTTGTTCATCATTCGCATTATCGCGTCCAATCTCAATTTCTTCATTTTCGTTTTGAGAATCGAATAGTGACAAAATTGGCGCAAATACTTTTGTAAAGAGTTTTTCGTTTTCGGCCATTGGTGAAAAATTGACCTAAAAATACAACATCTCTAGCTCTGCATATCTCATTTGTTTTTGGATTGAAAAGTCTATATCCCATGGCTTCTTCAGAATACCCAACAAATACCATTTTCTGGCTTCTGGGATCCAACTTTCATCGTTCTTGCTCTGGTATATGAACATACGCTATTGATCCAAAAACTCTTAAATGGCTGAGATTTACTTTCCAACCACTCCACTTTTCTTCTGGTGTCATTTCCTTGATCAATTTTGTTGGTGATCGATTGATCAAATATACCAAAGTCTTGTCAGCTTCAGCCCAAAAACGATTATCACAAGAAGATTCTTGCATCATAGATCTCGTCTTATCCAAACTTCTTCGATTCATGCGTTCTACAACTCCATTTTCTTGTTATGTGTAGGGTATTGTTAGCTGGAATTTTATACCATTTTGCTTTAGAAAATTCTCCAAAATATTGTTTGAGAATTCTTTACCATTGCCACTTCGGACTCTTTTTATCTTCAAATTACATTCATTTTCTACTTGCTGTTTGAATTCCTTGGAAACTTCTGTAACGTAACTTCACTCCTTTGTCTGAAAAAATAGATAAAAACTTCTTCGCGTAAAGTCATCTGTCAGACAAAAAATATACCGACTTCCTCCCCAAGAATCTATGGGCATGGGTCCACACAGATCCATGTATATGAGCTCCAACCTCTGTTCGTTGCATTTTGAACGGTTTCCGGCTGTGTTTTCCTTGAATACAGGACTCACAAGGATCGTCAAGATTTTTGTTAGAAAAATCCAATCCTATAGCCCTTTTGTCACGTCACGAAGAAGTTTCATACTGATACGGCTCAAATGTCCAAGTCCTCTGTGCCAAAGTATTTTTGACATTTCTGTGTTTGAAAAATTGGCGTGTTCGGGTGTTCGGTTTGGTTTAGATTGAGGCAATATACTCCACCAATTTCAGTTGCTGTAGCTACTGTATCACCTTCAATCACGCAGTTTTTGAGTATCTTGCATCCTTCTTTATCAAATACCACTATAAAGCCTTTATAGACCATCTGGCTTACGGATAGCAAATTAGAGGATAGGTCCAGAACATAGGTTACGTTAGAGATAACCTGGACTGGTGATCTATGCTCCAGACTAATAGATACATCTCCAATTCCTTGACTGTATAAAATTTGATTATTTGCAACAGCCACTTCTAAGCCAACGTTTCTTTCTTCTGAAAAATTGATCAGCCATTCTTTGTTAGAAGTCATATGTGACGAAGCACCAGAATCAACATACCTACCATTTTTGTCTATTTAGTTGACAACCTAATTCGGTAATAAAAACTCTTGGTTGGCTTGTTCTGCTCGTACTTTTTATTTTGGTTAGAAGTAGAAGGTCCACTGACTTTTGTATTTGTACAATGTTGTTTATAGTGTCCTACAGAACGACATTTCCAATACCAAGGCTTTTCGTCTTTCGTATTATTGACTTTATTTTTCTTAGACCACGCAAAGCTTTATTTGAATTATGTTTATCATTCTCCCACTTTGTATCTTGTAGTAACTTGGATTTTATCAAATCACTCGTGATCTGTGCACTAGAGTGTTCAATCGCCATAGGATCATAGCTTTCTGGCAATCCTTGAAGCCTGATTCTTCGATTGAGACCTTTATCCTCGTAAGCTGCTTTCAAATTATCCCAAGCATCAACAGCTTTTTCATATTCTCTTATGTGAGGATAACAGCAAGGTTGAACCATCAAACAAATCTTTGTAAGAGCTTTCTGATCTATCTTACTTTTTACTGCTTCTGTTGTCGTATCGCCTTCTGGATAGCCATTTATAGAAACCCAAAGCTCTTCATGACGAAGTTGCATCTTCATGGCAAACGACCAATCACAATAATTCTCACTTCCTCTTAACTTATCAAAAGAAGGAGCTGATCTGGAACTTTCTGCATAACTTACAGTAGTAGAGATAATTGAAATTTGCTCGAAAAAATGTCTATCCCATCTTCTTAAAAAGAAAATTTTCTTGACAGTTTGAATCTACTTCAAAATTCTCTTGTTGCAGTTTCAGAGGTTGACGAATCTGCTTGTGATTTCATCTGCTGGCCTATCTGGGCCTGTAACCTTTGTAAGCAATAAGTGAACGCAGGACAGATGTGAAGTAGGGTTATTGGAAAATAGGATGTAAGCTATTTAATTTCTTGTATGACTATGTTGTATTCACTACTTCCACTTTATGTACTTTGGCTTTTCGGAAAATGTGTTTAGTTGATTGTTTTTTCCCATATATAGTTCACAAGCATCTCTCCTCTGGTGTTCCGTTGAACCGTCCCCCATCCTAAATTTGCCGACATAAATAATAATTTGTACATCTTCTGCACTAGAATCTCCTGAAACAATCACATACCTTCTTGTTTTGCTTCAACTAAATCTTCATAGTAATAAAAAAAACTTCAGACTGCATCTTTTCGCAGTTAGCCTCCAAACTATATTATTTGTATTCAAATGGAATCTGTCTTAGGCACTGTTCTGAACTAAAGATAAGTTGTTTTATTTAACCAGTATTCAGTAATAGTCGGTTTGGACCTAGATTCATTATGTACATACAAAAACAAATAATGACATATTTAACGATTCAGTTTACACACAACAACTTTTTTTATTCTGGAGTTAATTTCGCTTGGGATCAATATCCCATTTTCCACACAGCCAGGCAGCAAGAAACATCGACACCAAAGAAGCAGGAAATTACTAGCACATAAAGAAACCTATAAAATTGTAGGCAAATTGGAAAATTTAATTGCCTCCAAGATTAATAATAAATAGAGCCTCTTGCTTTATTTTCGCTCGGGCGTCAGTGAGCCGCACAAGAAAATCGGAAAAAATCAATAGAAACTTAAATAGAAAAAGAGTCTCCAATTTTAACGTGGCCATAAGCTAAAAATGGGATGGCCGTGTCGGATATCAGATAAGCCATACCCTTTTCAGCTATATTTCTATTTGGACGAAACTAGGTTAATATTCTTAGCTGACATTTAAGAGGTTTCGTCAGGGACTCCGTCCTACATTATTAAAAAAGTATTTTTTTGTTCTACAAAGAAAAGTGCCAATTATGTGATAAGTGGAAAAGCTACTTTTGACCTACAAAATATAGTGTTAAAAATTGTGTTTGGGAAGCCAATAGTTAATAGTGAAAACTTTTGGTGTTAGAAATTTAGTTTTAGTATCTAAAGATTAATCCACATCAGATGCGAAAGCGAAACAATTAGTACAACGAATTAATTCACCTTGAAGCGGAATATGTTAATGGTATGTGACACTGAAAACGTGGAATATTCGATTCTATTAATGAAATAACACTAATTTGATTAGGTATTTGAATTTTGCTTTATAGATTATATATACTTTTTCTTTGAAGACAATTATAATCCAATATTCATCTTCAACTTTCAACAATATTTTTTATTTTGTCTCAGCTAAACCTATGACAGTTACTGCTTTGAAACAAATTACCTATCAAAACACTCCGATAATAAAGACATCTTTAGCTACAACAGCATCACATACCAAAAATAGGAAGACAAGCCTTCTATCAATTGGCGGAGGTTTAACTAAATTCCTGCTACACTGGTTAAATTACGCTTTCGCATCTATAGGATTAATCTAGCGTTTTAGCATCAAGCTGGCTACAAATTAAAAAAAAAACAAAAACAACTCACAATCGCGATATCGTAAAAAAGGGTACATCGCAACGTTGCAGCACTATAGAAGAACGGGTGGGGTGACTGCCCCTTGTTTCAACTAAACTACAATAATTAAACATAAATCTTTAAAATTTTCAACAAAAAAACACAAACAAGGACTCTGTAATTACCTTTGTCTCCAATTTCGGGTACTGCCCGATCGTTTGTACTGGAACTTGGACTCTGATTCTCTCATCGAACGTTGGTACTGTTTCATTTTCACCCAGGAACGGCCAGCGGTGTCGTAACAGCACCACACTGTTATTAATACTGAGAGGAGGATGCACCAATTAAAAACTACCATTGCTAGAAGAAAAAAATTGATTTGTAACAGAAAAGTAGGAAAGTTGTATATGTAATTTATTGATTATTGGGTAAACATGTTTCTCGCCCGTTCTTTTGGACGTGAGTGAAAACCACAATTTCAGCAACTAAATTCGTGACTAAGAACCAATAACTGTACAGATTCAAGCCAAAAATAAAATTTATTTCAACTTTCATTTAACTCTTCTGTTCCCTTGAACTCAATCGCTGTTTCTAGAAGTAGTTTGGTTTCTGTAATCACATTTCATGACATTGATAATGTTCAAGGCACAAGTTTGTGATTTCATACTTTGGCACTTGAAAGCTCTCACATTAGATTGAACAGACTCTACTCTACAAGCTTTCACTTGTAATTATTTTCACGATCAAGAAATTTCCATTTGTAGGTGTAAGACCCAAAAACTGCCAGATAATATTATGCTTCTTCCTTCCTTGTTACGATAAATTTATCATTTACGTAACATGTTCCATCTCTTCTTATTCTCATTATAAAGTTGTATTTTTGCCATTTCAGAATTAGCAAAATAATAATTCATAATCTAAGTGATCTAAAAATATCCACAAAGTTCGATATAATACCAGTACTGGCATCTATCCATCATGTGCATAAAATGCAAATATTTATTAATAAATGAAGGTACTGCCTTCTAGTACCTGATGGATCTATTTTTCAAAGTGTGATTTTAATTATTTCGCATTTGACACTCATTTGTATTTTCATTGAAAGAAATTATATTTATCTCACCTCTAGCAAATTGATATATTTCTGTCTTTCTCTAACTTCTGATTCTGAAATAATCAATTTTTGGCAATGACCTAATTAATTAACAGTTTTTTATTTTTGACATAACCTTAATATAAACAATTAAAATAATTCTAGTGGATTTATTCTCTTTTATTCCAGGTGGGTTTTCATTGTGATTTCATTGTGAAGTAAATATGATCTTTTGGGTGTACTCGTCTGATTGGTTGAACTGGTTAAAATGCAGTTAAGTAAAAAAAACACACAGGATCGTTTTCCTATGGGGTTTGGTTTCCAAAACGTTCTCTTTTCTTGACAGAAGTCTGGCAGGCTAGTCCTCTTTATTTTGAATAATTTTTGCTTTGTATTTTTGGCTTCTTCCTTATGGATTTTTCAATATATTTTGCTATCAATTCATTTTATCATATCATTGTTAAGTTTTTACCTGATAAATCTTATCTTATCTGTTCTTGAAATATAAATATTATATTTTAATATTTTTTTTATCTAATTGTGTGCTTCCATTTTGTGTGAGTGCCGATTGGTAGTGCCACGTTTTCCTGAGGTAAGTCAATTCAGACTTTTGGACTTAAATAGGTACCTACTGCTGCTCTGGTTTTCAAAATCCATTGTTAGTGTGGGAATATTGGACCATTTGCTCTAAATAGAGTCGGTGAAAACCAAATTTGTGTCTCCATCCCTCTCAACTCTTTATTGAATCCAGGCAGGTCAAAAATTCAGTAAAAAAGTTTTAATTAAAACATCTCAAGAATTTTGACATATTCTGGACTTGATTGATTTCACCGTCAGGTTTATCTTGTAGTATCTATAGTATCTACCTTTATTTGAAAGGAAAATTTTGTCTATTTGGGGGTGAATCCAAAGATTTAATTCTTTATTGTTTTACCTTATTTTGCTCATATTATTTTTGCCTGCCAGAGCTGCTGTCAGAAAAGCAACAGTCTGCTCAACCTATGGGAAGCATTTTAGTTTAATTTTGCTGTTGTTATTTATTTTTATGATTATTTTTCAACTATTTGGAATCTGGATCAGCTGAAGTGACTTCAGCCCAGCAATCCTCTTTCCTGGATACAGGAAACAACACGAAGAGCTCCAGTTCACGAAAGTGAAACCCCAACACCCATTGAAAAGTTTCGGATTGGAAAGGTACATTGTGTCAGATTCATCGGAACAACCAAGCTGTCAACTATCATGTTTTAAAGAAAGTGGCATTGTCAGTATGATGTTAAATATCAAACAAAATTATTGTTTGTAGAATTTTGAGTGGTTTCATTTGCAGATAAAGAGGCTACACGTTATCTTAATTTTTTGAATTCCACAACCCTAAGGTTCTCTTATCTCAAAGTTCAAATAACGAGGTTTATTTGTAACATCCTTACATTTTATATGACAGTTTCGCCGATGTATCCGGATGTTTGCACCTTTCTCGGTGAGTTAATTGTCTCTTAAGTATTTCGCCTTTTCAACCCTTAGCAGAAAACCTGCCCGAATAGCGATTTAATGAAACAGAACACCGAGTTCAACAATACAGAAGATTTCGGGGCAGAGAAAATCCTTTCAACAGGTGACAAATAGTTTTAGGGATGGAGTAAAGAAGGAAAAGCTAGAGATACACGGTGAGAACTATATGCATTGAAAACAGATTACAGTTTCAAGGCAAGACAATGCCCTTCTCAAGGAGCTGCGAGACCTTGACGTTGGTGAGGAGGTCCAGTCTCTCCTTTCCTCTTGGGCTAAAGAAAGGGTGCACTTTTCAGGGTGGCTTGCAACGGGGATTTTCAGATTATAATGCCCTTTAGGCGAAATTGATCCCTCGGGCCAGAGGCCCTCGGGCTAGTTTCGCCTTCAGGCATTATAATCTACATAATCCCCTTGGTACATAATAGTTATTTATGTACCACGGGAATTATCAGGTGTTAATACCCACGGGCAACTGTTGTTCCTCGGGCCAAAGGCCCGAGGGACAAGGGACACAAACTTTGCCCTGGGGTATTACCACCCTCATAATTCCCTTGATACATAAATAACTATTATGTACCAAGGGGATTATGTAGATTATAATGCCTGAAGGCGAAACTAGCCCGAGGGCCTCTGGCCCGAGGGATCAATTTCGCCTAAAGGGCATTATAATCTAAAAATCCCCTTGGTGCATACAATGCTTTATTTTCTACTCAATACCATGTTATTTCATCAATTTAGTATCAAACAAAATCATTAAAACTTGTGTGCGCTCGACTACATGGAGAACATTGATGGTAGACCGAAAATTATTTTCGGTCGGACATTTCGTGGCTGCCTAGGGTAAAGTACAAATTTTCGTATTTCGTTTCCTAGGTATTATGGATCTATAGGTAATAGTTAAGTAGAAAATAAAATATTTTTAATGAAAGTTCCCTCGGTAATATCCACTTTTAATTGTAAAAAATTGTATAAAATTGACAAACTCTAAAAATTATCTGTCTCTCGGACCACTGCTGTCAACTATTCTTGTCAGTGGCGACGCCAGGGTTCTACGTTAGGGGGGGCCAGACTAGGCTAGAAAAATTTAAGGGGGCACTTGTTTTTATTTTATTGCTTTTTTTCTTTCGAATAAAAAAGGGAAGTACCTGGATGGTACTAATATGTCTGGGGGAATCCCAGGAAAGCGAAAGAAGCATCGCGATTGCCTGTGCCCAAGAACACTTAACCTAATAAGACTGCTTATTGGGCTAAACATGTCTGCCATTTCAGCTGCAAACCTCCAAGGATGATACACACTACTACCACAGGATGGCCTATCCTCATAAGGCCTGTGTGTAACAAATCCCCCCCTACCCTCCCACACCAAACAACCAGTTGTGACGTAAGCAGCATGGCGTTTCTCGCCTTGACGTAGGCTGTTTAAACAGCTGACGACTTAGTTATGACGTCGGCAATGGTTAAAAACAGTTGAAAACCAACATGGCGGCGATTACCAAATCGAGACCGATAAGCACTCCTTATTCTCCTGGGAAAACCTCAACACTTGACGTAAAATGCATTAGCCGACTTCAAAACAGTATAGGTAAAAAAAACGAATTCCTAAACGTTATAATCTTGCTAAAATCACTTTTTCTCCATTTAAAATCGACGAAAAAACAAGCACAACCTGAATCGCAAGCATCTCATCGAGGCCTGCGGGTGACGTCATCACTATAAGCTGCTAATTAGTGGTGACGTCACTCGCAGGCCTTGCCGGCTCGAGAATTGGCGAACGTACGCCGTATGAGGATGAGCAATCCTGTTAGTTTTAGTTAGCGATTCTTGGCCTGTGTTCACCGTATACCGAATTAACCAGCAGAAGCTGCTGATGTTGCATTGCATTGCATTGTTGCCGATATGAGAGCAAGTTTTCAGGGGGGCCGACTAAATTTCAGTGGAGGCCCTGACCCCCTCTGGCCCCCCCTGGCGTCGCCACTGATTCTTGTCAGTGTTGCAGGTCCACGCAATCTACGCAGATGCCAATAAATATAATAAAAGTAACAAACTAAACATAAATTGATATCCTGGAGGCAAAGCCTACATTATAAATAAATATATTTATCATTTATATATCCATCGGTGTAAAGATAGTGAGAAAACTGATTTAAAAAAAACTCACCTAAAACAGTCTCTTTGGCATTATCTACTGGACAATCGACGTAGTAGTTCATCAGCCATACAATTCCAGCACTTAACCAGCCAGCTTCAATGATCATCACAGCTAAATTGAATAAAATTTGTATTTATGGTTAGTCAGAACATAGGTATAATTTCTGATTCATTGGTGGATACATAGAATCGGTTTTTAGATAATTGTACTCTACCTAACTTCTGAGAAAAGGCAGTGGATACAATTTTTGTATCCAAAGATTTGTTCAAAGCCCGAATCAGAAATCATATCAGAAACCTGGTAAACAGTTTTGCAAATCGTTTTTAACTGTTATAAATCATTCAGATTCATCAAAAAATTCACAAAACTGTTTTAATCTATCGGAAGCCAATTATATTCCAACAAAATCCTCTGGATAAAATGCATCATATTTTCGAAATGAGATTTCCAAAGTTAAACTTAGTTGTGGTGAATCAAAATGTAACATTATTAATAATAAAAATCCTTACACATTCTTATATACAAAATATACTGCATGGAGTTCCGAGGGGCAGTATCCAGGATGCTGCCTCGCAGCGCTACGATGCAAACCGCTACTTCGAGTACCATGGAGAGGAGCAATAAGGCGAGATAACCAACCACAAGACCCCAAAGTAGCAGGACACATTGGACACTTTTGTCGTATTCGACGACAAATAGGACTATTCCTAGGATTATTGTCCTGAAAAAAAAAAATACATCCATGAGATTTTTTTTAGATTGAGTTACAACTTTTGCAAAGTTGATTATCCCTCCAACTTTTTTAGACCTTAACACTGACTCTTCCAATAATATCATGTATTTTTGTGTTCACATAATGACCTGCAGAAAAAAATTTCACTATATACCGATAAGTTTTGTTACAATTCAATGAATATTTATTCAGTAAATAAAAAAAGGCAAAGTTTTCAAAGTATTTACTCGAGAAAAGTGGTAATTTGAAGCCATGATGAAGGCAATAAAGGAAATGGTGCGACTTCGTTCCCTCGCAGGAATCGGAAAACCCGAGAAAGATAAAACTGCCAGCCTCTGAGTTTAATTAAAAATAAAAGCAAACAAATCGCGGACAAGCTTTTTAGCGGAAGCAGTAATTCTATTTCGTGGATTCTAGGTATTACAAAAATTATATTTCGATTGAATAATCAATTTGGAATTTCCAAATAATTATTACAAATTAATTTTCTAATCAAAGTCCATAATTATTATATTTTTGCTATATAATTATTGTTACGACTGAAAATTTAATAACCTCGTTAACGTACTTCAAAGCAGCTCTCTCTGTTTTTCATATGGCGTAATCGTGAATATTTTATTGGGAAACTTTTTTCTTTGATAATCAATAATTATCAATTAAAATAGCTCTATATTATTTATTATGTACTTAGTGAGTGCATTGAAGGAACATTAATTATTCAAGGAAAAGCACAGAACATGAAGCTTGAGTTCTGTCAAAATGAATATTTTTCAAGTTATAAGAAGTTCTATAAGGGCAATTTAATTGGAAGAGTTACAGTTAATATTTGGATATAAATTTCCCCATGAGATAAGTGAATCTAACGAAAATTAAATTTACATCTGCAACGTAGACTTGATATAGATTATTTTAGTAAAATAAAAGTTTCATGAACATTATCGGTACTCGGTACTGTTAGGCACTGGTACCTTCGATAACAGCCCTGCAGGTCCTTATTCGTTTCATTAAATTCAAAATTGAAAATGCAAAGTTCGCCGAGTTCTATGGAGTGACGTCGACATTATTAGTCATTAACATGGATGTTTGACACTTTTAAGTATTTCTGCACTAACTATACTTTGCATAGTTTTTATTTGTGACTTTTAGGTATGATTGACTTTCATTCTATCAGTAATTTTCTATTTCTTCTCTCTACCCGGCTTCTTCTTAGTGGACCAATAGATATTAAAAAAAGAAGAACTGACCATTCGTACACCTCAAAATTATGAAATAATCTAGTATTGTTGGATTTAGCGTACGTTAATCGTTTTGACTGTTCAGTTGAAACGACTTTAGTTAGTTTGGTAAGAAATACTACCCGAAAGGGGGTTTGTTTTTTAGTCAGAGAGGCTTGATTTACAACTATAGCATGAAAAAGTTATCTGTTATACCTACTTCATTTTGTAAAAATTCAAGCGTAGAGTTTGTGAGCGGCCATTGTAGTATTTCGCTTAAATTTGATAAATTGTGAGGCTTTATTATGCAGTATTTAGTTAAGCTATATCAAATTTCAAATTACAGTACAATTGTAGGTTCACTTGATCTGGTTAGCCTACGGCGGCTCTCTGGTTCAGAATTTATTCGATATTCTGCAGAGGTTGCCTTTAACTTTGTTACGGGATGATTTTTCCTGGGCCAAAATAAAAGGAAATAAGCTTATTCGCCTCATTGAACAGCATACCTTCGTCGAGCCACTGTTTTCTTTCCAATAGTTGTGGACACACTTTTCTTCAAACTTTTCATTCCTCCCAGAATTATCAAGTTAGAGGTTGAATAATGGAATTAATTTCCTTTTAGTAGGGTTGAAATAAATAGTCAATTAATTTATTAATAAATAAAATCACAATATTTATAGGTATTGGAACAGCTGATTGTCTGATCCGATTAGATTGACTAGATTGACAGCGCTCCAAATAAGGTCAATGACCGGTACTAACTTAATTTAAATAAGTCCCGTGCCTCAACTACCATCAAAATTTCCCAGAACCTTTCACCTTGGAGTTTTGACAGAACCTTTTTAAAGGCATTGAAGGGACAAGCAGAGGTCATTCAGGTCGAGGACTTTCCACGATAAGGTGTTCGGGAAAAGTCCTTTTTCTGAGTTGTCCAGTTTTCGCTCATAGATCTAGGGTGGCTAATCCGTTATTTTAGCACCAAATCGCCTTGAGCGGATTTCTTTGTGAGCCGAAAAAGAGCAACGTGATCAATTGTTTGTTCCTAAAGGCCAAAGTATTTTGGTAAGTGGTTTTTCTTATTAGTCTTCTCTGTGTTTCTCTATTGCCTATGTAATAGCATAGTTTTCTGGTAATTATATGGTTAAATTCCGAATATTGGACATACCTACCTATCGCTCCACGCCCAGTCTCATAACGTCCATTTGTTTCAGGCCTTTTTTATTCGTCACGCTTTAGTCCTTAACTTGAGTAAAGAGTTAAACGTTAAGCCTACTGTATATTTCAAGTCGTACCTCCTGTCTTCAGCCTCCGCTGGACAATTGGAAGCTTTAGTGATTTCTAGTTACTGAACTTCAAGTACCCAGGGCCAATTGCTTCTTGTCGTGGCCCTGATCCAGTCCCAGGCCATCAGAAGTACTGGAAGATATCAGTCCAATCCTTCAGGTTCTCCTCAAGGGATTAGGGACTACTCAGGTTTGATAAGTGTGTTGTATTGTCTTAATATCTGGAGCCTATCAAACCTTACCAACCCCTTGTTGGAGTAAATCACCACAAAGACGCTGTTCTACTACAATATTAAATTACCCTTCAGAGGATGTGTTGTTATTTCAATTTTAATTAATTATCTATATTACCTTTATTATATGAAACTTGCCATTCAGGTTATAATGTATTGTTAGGTACTTCAATTTTAATTATTTATCTATACTACCGATTTTATCCCATAATATTAAATTTGCCCCTCAGGCTATGTATTCTAACTTCAACTTTAATTGAGGATCTATATTTCTCTAATATCCCATAAATACAGGCTGCACTGAATACAGGAAAATACTTGTACACTGGGGTTAAATGGTCATTTACGAAGGTACTGCATTTAGTAAGCTTTTCTAATAATTTACATTTCAGGTATTATCGCTGTTATAAGTGTTATACAATACTCTTTATTTCTTTATTTAAGGACTCAAGTTGAGTTAAATTATTGTAAATACTAAAATACTATTTTTAGAACATAAGGTTAGGTAGTCCTAGTCGATTTATTTTGTTCTTGTTCTGGTTCCAGTGCTAATAATTTTCATTGTTCCAGGGCGTTCGTAAAACCCACTCCGATCCTGCGCTGTAGTCAAACCTGTTCTGGTTCTAATTAAAAAAAACCGTACCTGATTGTAGCAAAGCGTTTCACTTCTGTCCTTCCTTCTTGTTTACTTTTATATTTCAGGTTGTGCTGCTATAGGTCCGTAGAAGTTTCCTGCTTTCGTTATATCGGTTGACTTAGTGTACTGCAGGGAAAAGCAGGTGGCGCTCTATATTTAATTATTTAATTGATCCACCCCCTCTCCGCATTGGAAGCTAGTCGGCAACCCTTCACACGAAGTCCCGTTTCTAGATTTTAGCCATCGACCAACTCTCTCTTTCTATTTTTTTCTGTTTTAATTACCCATTCACTGTCTCACTTCCTCAAATCTTATTATTTACTTTTCAATCGGTTTGACGGGTAACAACTAGATCTGGAATGTGCTAAATAAGTGGACTGTAGGTTTAGGAATGAGAAAAAAAGGCTGGTCTGAACTTAACATGAAATTTAATTGAAATAAAACCCACTCAGGGTATGAAAATTGAAGAACGGCTGCGGGTTGCTGAATTATTAGGTACGCGCAGTAACTAAAAACGGGCGTACTTGCACTTTCGAGTCTCTCTCCGTACTGCCTTCGTCTTCGTCCCGGTTCCTCTTTTTTTCCAAACTTCGTCGAGAGTGGCGTTGCTAGCAGTCTGTCAAGAACCTATGCAGTTTCGACGTTGCCACTGTATCGGCCAAATGAAAGAAAATAATATTTTCCTTGAGTGAAGTCGACACAACAATAATAATGCAACATCCGCTTCAAATAATTTTACGACTAATTGCGATAAGGAGGACCAATGAATATGAACAACTGAGTGAGTTTGTTCGTTAAATTGATAAGTACAAGATGGCAATGTTCTCATAGGAATTAAAACTACGACAACGGTAATATGACTCGAATTGGTACTTTTGTTTTTTGTGTTTTATTTGTACCAGTTTTCTGCGTCTTATGGTGGTCGTAACACCGTTGGTACCTAACGTTAGGGACGACGTTTATACAACGTTAAATTACCACTCATATATATCAATTAAGTACGAATATCACAATCTGAGGAATAGTTTTACAAACAAAACAAATTTTATATGTACGAGTTTAAAAACATTTCTAATAGCTTTATTTTGGCGAAGATTTAAATTGCCGTGCGCCAAGCCGGTATTAGATAATCTACGTGACTATACAAATATGTGCATAATATAGCTACTCACGTAACTTTTAAGTAGGTAAATATCCAGAAAATTATTCAGAAAAATACCGCTTTTTCCTAATATGTTCAATGTGTGCTAATCACAGCAGTGTACCCTACTATGTATAGAGACTAACGAAGCTTATAACAGAAATATCACCGACTAATTGTTGATTTTCTCCATTCAGCTTTCTAATTGATTTTGTTGTTTCCTATTATTTAACTGGTGAATGAAATTCCTGGGAAGTTTCGAGGTAATTGTGTGTCAATAAAGGACGAATGCAATAAGAGGTACAGATGCATTCATAACCACCTATTGTCTTACTTTTATTCACATTATTTCAACAACAATGCATCTTCAGGTATAGTTTCACGTTGAAAAATGAAATAATCTAGCATAGAACAAGTATTTTGGATAATGATTTATTTACCTTTTACAATATTTCACTAAATATTAGGAGGCATCAACAG